ACATCAACCAAGCGTTATACGGCTGGTTGGCTGCTCATAATGGATGTTGAAAAGATTGCCCCACGGATCGTAATAACGAAGGCATTCAACTCGAGACTTATTCTTAAACATGCTTTGTTTAAACAACTAAACATGGTGGTAGTTTGATCTCACATGGGCATATAAATAACCGGTCCTTTTTAAGAACATATATATCAACTTAAACATCAAATGAATGTAACATTTATAAAAAACAGGACCTACCCTAAGTCATATAACAATTCCATAAAAGTAACTCGTGGTTTAAACCTGCTTAAATCACGTGACCACATCATATATCACACAGTTCATACTTAAAAAATAATCCTTAGAAAAATCCTTTGACGCAGACAATATTCCTGCACCCTTCTTAGCAGTTTTTGGCTGTTTTACTCTTGAGATTGAGTCATTTCACAAGTGCGTGTTTCGAGATGTTCTTTTCGCCAAGTTTGTACAATAGCATGGCCTTAGTCTGTTTGGTGTCAGTGTACTACAATGATCTTTCACGCTACGTGGGGTCTGGTACTAACAGCATGGGAAGATCGCAATTATTGAAGCATTTCATGATCATTTGAGCTGGATGGACTTCCAAAATACTTAAAGGCAATTTTAGTCTGTCTCAAAATCTAAAATCTACGAACTAGATTACTTAGTCAATCATGAAATGGTTCCATTATTTTCATCTTATGAGCAATTTGTTTGTTTATCTAAACGTCGTAAATTCAATTCCACATTTCGCCGACGGCAAAGTGAACTCCACTGATCTTCACGCTTGAAATAAGAGCTAAAACTGATTTTAGAAAATTGATTAAGATATTTTCTATCTACATAAAACTTAAGTAAATATTTTGTTTATTTCTGTATGAATAAATCTGTATTGTTATGAAAAGATGAATTAAGACAACAGACACTAAAACAGCCTGGACGTCGATGCGATATCACTGATATCAACTAACAGTTTAATAACGTATGGAACGATATATAACGTAATATACATTACGCGAGAAAAAGAACAACTGATCAAGGGTTGCCAACACCAAGGTGGAGATGCTTGGTGCGGCAAATCATTTTGTAAGGAGGTTAAACATGCCCTAAGTTAGTACTTTCTTGTTAACTTTGACCCTTGATTAAACGTTGACCGTACTGCTCATGTGATTACTTCTATCGATGGAAAAACCATGTACTTTCAAATTGGTAAACTTGGGAGGAAACCTAAGTGCCGATTTTGAAGGAAATACCATTCGCCACATCTTATGCCAATAAGAAGAGTAGGGGAGGGCTTGTACTCCCAGCTTATCAAACAAAGTCGACATATATTTCTTGACTTTCATTTACGCTTAGAGACTTTCTGGTAAGTTCTTTTAGATTCTATATTAGTTCTAGTGARAGAGGAACAATCGTAAATCAAAACCCTCACTTTGCCCTTTTAAAGCGCTCAGTCCAACCATCAAAATGGAACCAAGTTGAACAGAATCATAACTGGCTGCTTTCCTTTTACTGGACGTAGCCGGCACAGAAAATTACAGAAACACTAGAAAGTGCTGTGAGATATGATCTTCTTGCTTGATGAAGTGATTTGTATTCAGTTATAAGCATCTATTTACTTCTGAAAGGATCAAACAGCAGGTTGCTGCATTGTCTTGACTAAAATCATTCAAACCGAAGTATCGTGAATTTCAAACTTCTTTTAATCTAAACACCCCAATCTTGTCACGAACAAGCCTTAAAACATGTGCTAAGGTATCATCCCTGTGACCTGCTGTTATTCAACAGCTCGGAGTATATTTACTAGAGCTTCAATTGACGCTAAATGACCCCGTTTAGAAATAAGTAATTGTTTATAGTTGATTTGGTCATAACAAATATCAATTCGTGACTAAGCTAACAAAAAAGTRCRGTATCGCGCTGTGCTGTTTTGTTTGCGGCCTTTTCTATTACAACATAGTRTTGGTATTTTGATAAACGCTTGCATTACCACTAATAATTCAAACTGTTAAAAAAACTAATACAATGGTTTTCATATAAAACCGTAAAATACACTTTAGATTATTCTTTATTTTACACGTTTTTTTTCTGCTTAGTTTTGTGTTTGGTTTTCCGGTGTAACGTTGCAATTCTATTTTCAATTCTATTTATGTGAATTTGTAAGGAGCCATCTTATCTCCTTCAGTTTTCTTCTTTCCCATCTTCATCCAGTAGCTGTCATATTTTCCTCCCCTCTCGTCTTCTTATCTCATCTAAGATTTTTTTTCTTGTTATCATTATTTTTTCAATATTTTTTCATCTCCATTCCCTGCAGACTGTCTCCCCTTCCTCGCACTGCATCTCTTTCTTCAGTCATTTTATTCCATTTTTTTCATCTCTTTCTTATCTCTTTTTTTTCCATTTTCAGTTTTGACCATTCCAATAGCGGGAAAGGGTTATGCAACTGAGAGAATAATAATGCATTTATTGGCTTTCCAGCACTCAAAGCTCACGTGGCCATGGCATACATATAGATCGCAAAAAACGCAATTCCTTAGTGACGATTTATCCATATCAAAACTCCTTCTAAAACATTCTTAATGACAYTGAAAATAAGACCAACTCGAAAATCACTTTGCCTTTGGGTCAATTATAGGGCCTGAAACGTTGTATAAAAAGTTATCATTGTGCATGGTTTACGCTGAGATTTTGAGTCATTTGGCATGCAAAACTACATTCAAGTGGTCATTGATCTGAAAAAGCCAACGATGGCAGGATGTCATTAATCAATAAGAGGGTGGGCTCGTTTATCATTAGCTCAAGTGTTATCACTACGTCCTCTTGCCTTTTTGCGTTTGGTTATGTTAACAAATGAAATATCAACCGCCTGTTTACCTTAAGCAAAGAAATAAATATTATTGATCACCATCCGTCTKCCTGGGTAGTCCCTCGCAAAACACACGCATCTAAATCCACGAAAACCACAAAACCTCTCTTCAAATCAACAACTTTGGAAGAAATTGATTTAGTTAAGCGTTGTAATCGATTATTCCAAGGGTATAAAAAAGGCTCTATAGCAATTATAAGCTGCGTGTTTACTAGATCTGGTATCAAGACAAGCCCTAAATTTACCATTTCAATTGATAAATAGTTCATCATTAAGTTGATTTATCGGCAATAAAACCCACATTCATAAGAATGAAATATCACTTTAGATATCACACTGCTATTTTAAGCAGCAAACCTCTCAGACACGTGAACAGATAGCTTGTTGGGAGGTGGGTGTGTAGTCATGACTTTGGGCGCCATGATTCGCATAGTATGGAATTGCTGTATAGTTCTGTGACTATGCAACACGATGCAACAATACAAAGAACGTCGTCATATGTTTATTCTAAGAAGAAATGTTCAGCTTTCGATTGCATTGAATATTTAATTGTCATAATAGTTCAGTAATTTTCAATACAACCCTGACATATTCATATGGACTGACCGCCTATATATCGGCCATCCATTCTATATAGGTCATTCTAGGCGCAACAGCACTTATGCTGGTTGTTGCTCGTACAAGAAACACAATCAAATTAGCTAGATGATCAGGGAGGCATATAGCCAATCTGACTTGCTTTTCTTAAAGTTATATTTTGACTTTAAAGTTGGATGACACTTGTCTATCGTGAAATATGCATGGCCTTGTTTTATCTCTTTAGCGCAATGCCATGATTCTGTCTGCAAATAAATAGTAACTTGTGTACGTATTCATCTGTATATCAGGCTAGTCCTTATGTCTGCAGATGTTTATGATAACTTCACAAGTCCGCAATTCAATAGAATGACGTAAAATCGCCGATATATCTTTTATAGGCCAGTATATATTGCACTTCTTTCGCTTCTACTCGGAAAAAAATAATTTCACCTTTGTACCTTTAACATCAGTATCTGTAGTTATGTACTAGTTTTGTATTGAAAATAWACGAAAAACCGCGATATGCAAGTTTATTCAGTGTAAGATTTATTACAACGCCTCTGTTCATTTTTGTCTAGTTTTTAATTACGTGAAATTGTATAAAATCTAAATACAACAATAGGCAACCAAAGCTGATATTTGTAGTACGTTTTCTAACATTGAATCGCAGTTTATGGACTCAATGGTCAAATCCAACTATAGAAGCCCTTGACGTTGGTCATCCAAGTGTTATCAATCACGGTTAAACAATTTGTCTGACATTCATAAAAACTCAAAATGAAAAATGACTTCTCTATAAACATCACGGTGACATGTTTTAGAATAATGGCAAATAAATCACGATAAACACTACATAAAATTTAATTCTTGAAGCTGGTTATTTCAACTAAAATGTTTATTACATAATGGCAAATAATATAAGTCTTACAAAGTTCTTTAAAGATTTTTATAGGGCTGATGAAATATACTTTTTATTTACAGATCATTAATAGAGATTCTAGTATTATCGTTTGCATATTGAAATCAGAGTTAACAAAATGGCCAAATTCCCTTCACTACATCACCGCATTACTGACACTCTGCCACTGGTTGCTCTAGCTGGTGGTTGCAGGGGGTGCGTGCCACTCCCTCGCATGTTGCAGGCCCAAATTTAACTGTTTTTAAAAAAATAGAAAAAATAAAAAAATTGATTTTTTGGGGGCTTATGTGCGGTCTTTTTATGTGTCGGGTTTCCTGTATCCGAACCAAAATACAAGACGGAGAGAGCAGGCTAAGGCTGAGACAATATAGGAGTTTCCAGTTAGCATCAATTCATCATAAACATTACCATAATGTCAGACAGAAACGTGACCGAAACTTGTGATAAATCGATCCTATTCTGACCTAATTCTAAAGAAATATAACTATCTATTCTCGCAGACTTAGCAGACACTCTACTAACATAGTTGCAAAGACACTTTACATTCTGTCGTTTACTTTGATTCAAATTTTAGTGGATTCCCTGTGTTAAATTGGGATCCCTGTTTAAGCCAGGTTCCAAAGCATAAACATTGCGGTCTTTATGGTCGTATTCCGTTGGCACAACTTCTGCAGGTTTGGACAAGTTATTTAGTTAGAAATGTTTATAATTTGGTAGAAATTATTTGAGTATGTATTATTTTAGTTAAGCTTTTTCTTACTTGTGTCAAATAATTGCTTATAAGTCAAGCCAAAGGCAATTTTTGCGGCATGAAGGAAATCTGACTTTTGAAACGGCTGATATAACATGAAGGTCGCCTGAGAAGTATGAACTCGACCACTATTTAGAACATTGACGTCAATAGCGCACCAATGCAAAGACAACCTGAGCACTGAAAGATTAAGAGAGGCATRAATAGGAACTTGAATGTGTGTTTGTTTTTCTCAATGAATCGACACTAGACACTCGACTTGAACATTGTTCAACCACTCTTCTTCTTCGTTTGGTGTTCTCTTTCCCTTGAATAATGTGAATAATTTGATTAAATATTTTGGCGAATAATTTGGTGTTTATTTGTAGATATATAAACTGATCCAAAATATTTAGAGAAAAGGGTTTGTTCAAGCTTTGAGCTTTTTTAATAGCATGTTATAAATGTATGAAGAGAATTTGCTGAATCCCTAGACTTCAWTGCTTATGGTCTGCAATCTTAGGTACTTCAGACTGCCGGCAACATAACCTACCAAATCCATAAAGAAGCATTCACTTAAAATTTAGCATGATGAAGTAGGATTGTTACATTGATAGAGAAGTGTGAAGGGGGCTTGACTGTTGATGATGTTGCCATCCAAAAGTGGGGCAATGGATGGCATTGAAATATAAATCCAAAATCAAAATGCATTTTGGATTATAGTC